TTAATGTTTGGTTCTCGAGCTCGTTCCAAAGTATCTTTCATCATAGCTTCCTGAAAAACATAGCATAAGAAAAATCAGTTCGAGCAGAACTTTTGATGTTTCTTTCTCAAAGAAATGCGCAATACAGATTTTTTTTTTTTAATAGAATTCATATATTTTATTAATTAGACGACATGCAAACTAATTATAACACAATTTTCTAAACAAGAATATACGAGAATACACGGATCGAAGCAAATCAACTCTCTCTTACAAAGGAAGAGAAATATTAATGTATCTAACCAATGAATCTAACTATAAGAAACCAAGGATAAAGTAGAAATTTGTAAGGAACCAAAGGTAAAGTAGGACATAAGTAAATAATTCTGCCGTTCAGACAATTACAACCTCCTGCCTTTATAATCTATATATATATATATACACATATGCATGTATCCAAGGAAAGAAATCATTGAAGTAACTATCAAAATCATAATATACTTTCTCTGAAATCTTGTTGACTCTCAACTTTCTTTCTTTCTCTCTCTCTCTCTCTCTCTCTCTCTCTCTCTCTCTCTCTCTCTCTCTCTCTCTCTCTCTTCTTTCTCTCTCTTCTTTCTCTCTCTTTCTTTTTCTTTCTTTCAGATCCAAACCGTGTATCAGGTTCGTCACATTAACCATGGCGTAGGAGCTAAGCCTCATTGTGATGTTAACCCTCATCAACTAAGTATGATGATGTATAATGATTTAGATATGTACATACATATTGCTTTGAAGTGGAAGATATGGTCTCTTAAGTTTCTGATATATATGATAAGGAGTTATTAATGAGAGATCTCATCAGCAGCAAATATGCATTGACAAAGATGGACAGTTACCATATATGATTCCACTGAGGAATGCTAAGATATGAAGAGCTTCTCCATTAATTACATTTATGTTAGAATTATGTAAAGATAGAAGCACAAAATGCATGTAAACACCAACAAACCTGTAACGGGTATCTAACAAATGCAGGTTCATAACGGCCTTTGCAGAATCTATAGAACCATATGGTGAGTACAGGAAGAGCGATCAGAAGCGGTACTGATTGAGCAGTATCCCTTGTACCCAATAATCCCATTAGAAGCAACTGCGAGATAATCAATGCACCAATGACACGGGCATGGACATCCGGCCAGAAGGCTGCAGCACTCTCGTACTCTTGATTGTAAACGTTGATGATCTACAAATTTCAAGAAAATGATATAACAAGAAGAAAAACAATAAATCCAACGAGAAAAGCATATTTTTCTGCAAAATGTGGAATATTTTTTATCAT